TTAAATAAAAGCTAAAATACCGGAATTTTGCAAATGGTTTATTAAAGCGTTTTTAAAATATGCTTATAAACGGAAAGGTTAACATGGTAAAAAAAAATTCCAAAGCAATTTGTTAGCCAAATTCCGAAAAGCAGCTTATATAAAAACAACCATTATTAAAAAGGATATTAAAACGATATTAAAGCGCATTTTCGAAGCATAAGCAAAAAACGATTTCGTTTAAAGCAATATTTAAAAAAGCAAGCCCAACGTTTAAAAAATTAATAACGGTTTGTTTAAGCATAAAAAGAAAATTTAAATTCCAAATTTAACGCCGTTGTAACGGGCAATGCTTTAAAAACAATACGATAATATAACGGGAAATTACAAAAGCATTGCCAAAATTTTAAAAAAATTTAAACGGCAATTTAAATGGCCGGGTATAGTTAAAAACGTACGCAAATATATGCGGACGTATTAAATATACCAGTAAATAAAGCCGAAAATACAAGCATTTTACGGGTTGCTAGCACCGTACCCGTACCAAACCGTTTGGGACAAACGTTATTAATGGATTTTATTAAAAAAAATTTAACGTTAATAAATGGAACCGGCACAAAGCGCAACGCAATATTAATAATAATAACCTGGTTTATTAAATATAATTTTTTTATTTTAACATTTATAAGGTTAATTAATAAAGGATTAAAAAGCTTTTTATTTACATACGTTTAAAAATTGTTAAAAACGTTTAAAAAAATTGTATTGAACTGAAATAAATTATTTACAAACGGGTTTTAAATAATTTTTGCGGAATATTTAAAAATTACAAAACCTTTTCGATAACGTATTACCCGCAAACCGATAAATAAACGAAACGAATAAACCAAACGGTAAAGCATTATTTCCGGTGCTTTTATTACAAAAAGCAAAACGATTAAACATTGTTATTGCATTTGGCAACGTAAATGAATAATACGAACGTGCATTTAAGGTTGCAAAAAACCCCGGCGTTTTTGTTAATAAAGTTCCACCCGCAAAAGCTTTATAATTTTTAAATATTTAAAAAAAAGCTTTAATAACGATTAAAATTAAAGCGGGGGTTTTGGAAATAATTAAAAAGCAAATTAAAAAATTGTTGGAAAAAGCAAATAATACGTATAAAAAGTATTACGACAAAAGCAAAACCCCGGTGCTTTTTGGGGTAAAAAATTAGGTATTATTAAGCACGGTAAATATTAAAATAAAAAAGCTTTTAAAAAAGCTATTAAACAAATGGCTGGAACCTTTTTAAATTACAAAAATAATTGGGTTAACCGGTTTAGCGTTTCGATTAAAGCTTCCGGTAAATTACCGAATATATAACGTATTTCCGACAAATTTATTGCAAGCGTTTAAAAAAAGGCCCGGCAAAAAACCAAAAATCGAAAAAAAAACCCCGTTTCGAAATAAAAATTTTGCTAAAATACAAAAAGCTTTTACAAAAACGGAAATACTTTATTAAATGGGCAGGTTATAACGAATTGGAAAATTCGTAAATTGTAAAAAAGGACATTACAAAAAAAATTGTTAAAGGGTACAAAGCGAATTTGCAAGTTAACGGAAATACCGGACTTTAACGGGCAAGCACCCGGAAAGAACGGCGGTTAACAAAGGATAAAAGTAACAAAGGCTTAAAAAAAAGCCCGGAAAAATGGTTTAAACGTATTAAACCGGTTAGCTACCGGAAAAGGACGGGAAAAAACCCGTAAACGATTTGTAAAAGCCATAAAATATCGCGCTTTATAAATAAAAAGTTAAATAAAAACGGTATAGTATAAAAAACGCTTTAAATTATTAAATGCAATATATTTAAATTTTAAAGGATATGCAAAATGTAGCACATTTTGGAAAGCCCGTAAAAAGCATGCTTAACGCAATACGTTAAAGCAATTACCGTATTTTAAACGTACGTTATGGTAAAACATTATTGCTTGTTTAAAAAAAAAGTAAAAAAAATTCCGGATAATATAGCAAACGGGTTTAAGCGTTTAAATTACGGTAAATGCATATCGGCAATATTTAAATTTATAAAAAACGAAAAAAAAGCATTTGGAAATTATTTATTAAAGCATTAAAGCTTAGCGGGTAATTAAAAATACCGGAATTTCGCAATATTGCAAAAGCAATATAACAAAAGGAAATTATAATTTTAATTATAATAAATTAACGAAAAAAATTTAAAATTAACCACTTTTTTAAAAAAAATACCAATAATTAATTAAAAAGATATATGGGAAAAATTAATTAAATACCGTATCCAAAAAAACCAAAATTTCCGGAAACCACGGTTTTTTGTTAGCGTTAAAGTTATTGTTGTTAAAATTATTATTGCTAAAATCGTTAGCGCTAAAGCCGTTACTTCCCGGCGCCGATACAAACGCTGCATTTTTACGGGAAGCTATGCGGGCGCAAGCTATGGTATCCAAATTTGCCGCAATTATAATAAAATTAATATTAATACCACAAATAAAAAGGGTTAAGCCTTTTTCGAAACTTTTAAAAATTGCCGCTATTTTGCTAAAAAAAGCTTAAACGGCAATTAAGCCCGTAATTTGCTTTTTTATTTAAATGTTAATAATATAAAGTTATTAAAAATTTTTTAAATAGCTTTTAATGTTGCAATGTTGGCAATTTTGCGTTAAATGCGCTTTTAAATAACGGTTTAACGTTTGTAACGCGCAAATTGCTTAACCGATATGGTATAAAAGGATTTAGCTTTTTAAATAGCTTTACGGGCGCGAAATTGGGTTTTAACAAGCTTTTTAAAAAGTTCCGGTATCGTTTTAAAGTACCGTTTGTAAACGGTATTTAAAATTTTGTAAAAGTTTTAAACCATTTTCCAAAATTATTTAAAAAATTTAACGCAAATTTTATTATTAATTACGTTTTTGCAATAAATGCATTTAAAAAATTCCGTACAATTATTAAAACATATCGGTATACAAGGGTTAACGGCATAATTTTAATATGTTTAACAATTTAAATAACGGCCGCAAAATACCGTACGTTCCGTATAAATGTTTTTTAAAAAAAGTAAATAAATAAGTTTTTAATTATCGTTTTATTGGAAATTAATAACTTTTTGCGGCGGGAACGCGTTACAAATACTTATATAAAACAAAAAAAAGCGGTATCCGTTTTAAAAGCAAATTTATTGGAATTAAAAGCGTTGCGGCGGCGCTTGTTACGCGTTTTACGCTTTTTTTTAGCGGCGGTTTTTTTGCCGCGGCGGTTAAAGCCCGCCGGGGGGTTACCGGCAAAACGTTTGTAAAAGATTTAAAGGGTTGCAAGCGCAAAAAGGTTTAATAAACCCGCAATATTTAAAGGGTTTACCGGGGGGTTATTAACCGGGCAATTATTAAAAATTTAAAAAATTAAAAGCTTAAGCAAATCCGAATTTAACGAAATTACGATAATTAAGGGAAATACCGGGGGGTTACCAAAAAAGCGCTAATTCGGGGTTTAAAAAACCAAAGGGCTAAAAAAGGCTAACGGGCTAATTGGAACCGAAAAACCCAAAGCAAGCATTTAACGGGAATTCGATTTTTTTTTACCGCAGCGGTTATATTGGATAACATTTGTAATTACCGGTTAAATCCAAAAATCCAAAAGGAACGGTTAAATATTAATTATTTACGGTTACAATTATTAAAGTTTTTAAAAAGGTTATTGGAAATTTTTTAAAAAAAAAAAGGTTTGCGGTTTTAAATTAAAAAAAAAAGCTTTTTTATGCTAGCGCAAATTTATTTTTCGAAATATTACAAAGCTTTATAACCGGTTTCCCCAAATGCCGCCGGGCATTAAGGCGGTTTACCGAAATACCATTAATTACCGGTTATTTACGGGATTTTTACGCGCGGCATACGCAATTTGGAATAAGCCGTATCGGGAAAGGGCAATATGTTAAAAGTACGGGCGAAACCGCCCGGTAAAAAGCGGGGGGCGTTAAAAAAACGGGCGAAACCGCCCGGCAAAAAAGGAAAAAAAAGGCGCTAACAGCCAGCCGGGCACGGACTTTCCCGGGAACGTACCGGCAAATTACCGGTATCGCGGCCAAAGCATAACGGCAAAGCTAAAAAATGGAATAAAGCTTAAATTGCACGAAAGCGTTTAAAGCGCGGGAAATTTATAAAACCAACCCCGCGTGCCCGATGGGGTACGAAAAAAAGGAAGGTTAAAAAAGGAAGAATTTTTGTTGGAAATAGCACTTTTGGTAAGAAATTTACGGAAGCTTAATAAAGGAAATACCGCATCCGGCCCGTAATTTGGTAACTACCCGCTTCTGCACCGATCGACCCTTAATACCAGCTAAAAAAGGAAGCCAAAAAGGTAAAGGGTAAGCAAATGGCTACTTTTTATTACAAAAAGCTTAAATAAGCTAATTTATAATTTGTTAACAAAATTACAAATTACAAAATTAATTTATAATTTATTAACAAAATTACAAATTATTAACCTTTAGCAACGTTCGTACAATACCAAATTAAAGTATAAAAGGAGGGATTTTTTATTGTTTTAGGTAATTTTTAATTAAAGCTCCGGCATTAATTAATTTAAGTTAGCTTTTAAGTATCCCTTGGAGGAAGCATTCAAACCGCACCCAAGATACCTTGTGAATTCCCTTAATTGTCGAAGTTACGTGCTACTGTTGAGTACCCCTTAGGTGCCTTACCTTAGGAGCAGAGGCTTAACTGTAACAAAAGGCAGCGGCAAGGTTGTTGCCTGCGGTAAAGGCGGGACCAAGAAGGAAACGGTACGTTTTTTGCTAACGCGCTTCGTTAAATTGCGCCTACTAGTATCGGTGCAGCTTATAAAAGGCCTGGGTAAAAATAGCGGTTTTCCGGCTAGTGCTAGGATCGGAAGCGCCGGGGAGGGCAGGGCGCTGGCACCCAGCAGCAGGCGCCCAGCCGTTTCAAGCCGCTTTCCGCCCCAAGCTGATGACGGCCAGGGATAACCATGAGAAGTTCTGCGAGGATTAAAGGAGCGAGATGATAGAGAAGCATGGGGTGCAGGTGGGACAGGCCAGCGGCTGCCGGTTCTACCATTTGAAGTCGGCGCGCGACCGCGAGACCGTGTACTACCGTTTCGTCAAACAGGCAGTAGACGCCGAGGCGCAGCAGCTCAAGAAGAAGCGCCGGGCGGGTACAGGTGCTCGGCCGGTGGGCACTCGGGCTATGGCCGTTGTCCACATTGAGCGCTGCGCGTCCTGAAAGAAGTTTTTTTTTTTTTTTTTTTTTTTTTGGGAGAGGGGTGTTGATAATGTGTGGGCAAACCAGGGGTCTCTTCTTGCTTTATAGAAAATCAGGCGCCGCTACTGTTGGACCAAGTATATGCACGGGACCAAAGTCGGCGCTGCATCACCTTAGGGGACGGGCCGGTTGACCACCAGATTAGGGAGGCCTACCAACAGCTAAGTGAATGCCATCTCGGGTTTTTTATCCGCCTAACCAATACCTTCCACTAAACATTACACCATCACCATGTAGCTGCATAAGGTGTTACCAGAGCCATCATCCCGGCTGTACTTCTCGATGCAGCCCTCGCCCCATCTATCGACTGCTTACTCAAGTTATAAGCTCCAAGAATAAATATCCTGACTTTCACAGTATCATATTTTTTGCTGTAACCTTTTCCCACAAGTGAAAAGGGTCTATTACCACCTGTGATGCTCTTTTTGTATCACCCTCGGAGTCCAGAAACGAGCTAGCGCATTGGTAACGCACCCTAGGCGTCCAAGACCTGGTCTTGCTCAAGATCCTCAGGGGCCGGGGGTGGAGGCGTCGGGGCGCGCGGCTGCTCGGGCTCGGCAGGAGCGTCCTCGGGAGGGGGCGTACGGGCCGGCGGCGGTATCTCGGCCAGGGGGTCGCGCTCGGAGCACCGGGGCTCATGGCGGCACCTCAGGAAGCCGGCGCCGTCGCGCACATAGGGGGCAAAGCACATATAGCACCACTCGTGGCCGCAGAGGCAGGTGATGTGGTTGCAACCCGAGTGCTTGTGGACGTCGCGGAGGCAGCCCGGGCAGGCCTTGGCCATCTTGGAGACGGCCTCACGCGTCCTGAGGTCGTCGCGCAGCCGCCGACGCGCGCGGAGGTCAAAGTCGGCGCACGTCTCCCCGCGGTGCCAGGGGACATCGTGCACAGTGCACTGGCGGGCGTGGCAGACGTGGCACCGGAAGACCTCGGGCTTGCACGACGACGGGGGCGACCTCGGCCGCGAGACGTGGATCTGGCCAGACCCGCAGCCGGCAAGGCACCAGCGGAAGTGCCGCATCTCCCCAAGAGCGGCGCGGAGGGCGAGGCCGTCGTAGCGGGCAAAGACAGGGCTGGAAGCCCATCGCCTCACGTCGGCGTGTGTGAGCAGCTGCGGACACTCCGGGCAGCGGAGCCGGTCCCATACCGTGTCGGCAAGGCTCGACTCGATCCAACGCCGCAGGCAGTCCTTGCATGTCCCCGGACGTGCGTGTTCGCATCTCTCGGTGATCCTCAGCGGCATGTCGGCTATCGTCTTCTTGTCGCCGCACACAGCGCACTCCTCGCTCGGCCCCAGCAGCCATGCGTCCTGGGCCGAATGGGCTTCCGCGACCTCGAGTGGTACGCGAAACTCGACAGCGTTGGCGCCAAGCGCAACCCAGTCGGCTCGGCGAAGGTCCCGCCCTCTGCCGTGGCTTCCCCTCAGGAGCCGGATGGAGCGCCTTGCGAAATCGATGCCCTCGCACTGCAACCCCAGGGCCCTATCCTGGCCGCCAACAATGCGAGAATGTAGCCAGTCGCGGATCTCGTGGACACGCAGCGAGCCGGCTGCGCGACTCTCATACGAGTTATGCTGTCCACCGCTTAGGGAAGGGTGGTAGACGTACTCCCGGCGGATACCCCTGACAACTAGATAGTCTCGCTGCTTCGAGACATTGACTCCCAGACGACGAGCGAGCCAGGCCGAACCGACTTGCGAGATATCCCAGTAATTACCCTCGACTTGGAGATTTGTTCCCACATTAGAAATAAGCGGATTTTGGGATGAACACCAGGGCCGTTGATCACAGAGCAACAGGCAGAAGGAAATGCACAAATTGCGGAGAAACAAATAAGCCAGAAAAGAAGAATGGGTGGTTACCTGGACCTTCTCGGAGGCCGCCTCGTGCGATCAACACAATGCGGTTTGGATCGCCTACCGCCAAGGCACACGCGATATCCTCCCTTAGGGCCTTGATGGTCTTGCCCTGTTTGATGGCCTGCAGAAGCGCTCCCTCGAGCAGGCCAGGACCGGGGGCAGAGTTCCGGTCTCCCTCCCAGCTGATGCGCGGCCCCTGTACATTGGCGGTCCTACTGCATAGGCGGTAGTACAGGGTCGAGGTGTGGGCTAGGCGGGCGCCGGCCGAGACGGGCGGGGCCACCGCGTCACTGTAAAACAGCAGCCTCTCGTGGTTGCCAATGCGGAAGTAGGCGGTGCTGCGTATTGCTGACTCTATCCTTGACAGGCGGCAGCCGCTGGGACCGATCGAAAGCGTGAAGCTGCTGCGGAGGTGGTCGAGGTCCTTCAGCTCGACTTTGAAAGGCGGAGCCTGCGGCTCCACGGCCTCGGCGGCAAGACTCGATTGGCTAGTCCGGGCCCTTAACCCGAAGAGAAGCCGGCCGAGGAGCCGAGCTGGCCGCTGATGCTTGGCTCTTTCGCCGCCCATCTCGCGGTATCGCCTTTATGCTATGTCCAGCCCCGCCTGGCCTAGCGCATACACAAGGGCGAGGGCGTATGATAAGAAGAGCGTACAGTTTGACATCCTGCGAGAGGCCCTGGGGCTGGGACCACCTGAATCTTGTATATCCAGAATAGGGCTGCGAGGAACACATAATGTTGCGAGCCCAAGGGCGGGGACCGGTCTGAATTGCCAGTGGCGCCCGAGGTTCGCCGGCATGAGCACTCTCGAATTCTACTGGTTATTGCGGTAGATTGGGCGTCGATGCTGATGCTGCTTTTCAGAGAACTCGATTGGCGCCACCCCTAGAGCACCTGTGAGAGCACAAAACCGGAACACATGGGGCACAAAACGCACTGAACGAGTCCAGAGTCAACCCTCATGTTTCCTGCTGCCTCTAGGGTATATCGTATTCTACTGCCGCCAGTGATTATAGCCGCAGTGAGGGCACTAGCCGGGCAAGCCTCCAGCTGAGTAGCGACCTTTGCGAATGAACAGCGACCTGGTGCCCGTCGCCGAACAAGAAAAACAACAGCCGGATCCGCCCTAAACCACAACCAAACTTGACGCAGGCGTCTGGAGCTTCATTGCCAGTCTGGTCAACCACGCCGAGCAACATGGCGTGTTAGGGGCCAGGGGCCAGGACAGTCTCTCGGTCGCCGCGCTGGGTCCGACACAACCCAAAAATACCAATAAAGAGAACGCACCGCGTCCAGAGCATGCTAAATGACTGTACCAGACCAATGCAGACCCTCGAGCCAAGCCGGAAACTCGACCGCCGAGCCCTTACAGCGCGTAGGCACCCACAAGCGCGGCCGCAGCGACAGCGACGCTCGCAAAGGTCGACAGCTGACCCACAGCAGCGGCGCTGTTGGGCCGCGCGGTGTTTGCGGGCGTAGTAGTGGAACCTGTCTGCGTCGCACGGGAAGCTGGTGTCGCCAGCGAGGAAGTTGCGGCACCCCCACTACCGGCCTTGGCAGCCTGCTTTCCGCAGAGGCTTCTGATGTCCGTGTTGCACTTGCCCTGGGCCGTACTGTCGCCCACGCTGGCAGCAATGCATTGTTCGAACGCTTCCTCGCAGATGAACTATGGCAGCGCAGATTGTCCAGACTCAGCAACCAAACCCACACATACCACCGGCGAACGGGGGGCAAGGTGAGGGGACACTTACCGTTGGAAGACTGTTTTGGTAGTACTGAAGTCCAGGAGCGGTGCCGTTCTGGCAAGTGCAGGCGAACTGGAGGTTGCCAGGGTCGCAGTCGTTCTTGGTGGGGTATGTGTTTGGGGCGCCGCACAGAGTGTCGCAGACGGCACGCTCGCCATTGCACCAGTCGGCTGTACAAGGTTAGCACGAGGAACGCGCACACAGACAGCACCACGGGGTCCGAGGAGTACACGCACATCGTCTGTCCGACGAGACCTTGCTCAGGTCCGGCTTAAAGGTGAGGTTGAAGGGCAGGGGCGGGATCTGGATCGCCTGGGCAGCAGCCAGCGGCGCGGCGGCCGACAGTGCCATGACAAGAGCTGCGCGGACCATTGTGGAAGATGAGTAGACGACGAGGGGATGCAATTGGCTGCGGCGCAGGACTGTGAGGCGGCGGCGGGCGGATGCAAGCTGCAGGTCCTTGCTCTTCAGCCCTCTGCTACAGCTTCTTCCTCTCCTTGTTGCCTCTGAGATGTCAATATGGGATGATGACCCGGCTGCTACGGCTCCTGCAGCTGAACGCGGGATGGTGATGCTGAGTGGCGTCGATGGAACGTCCAAAAATGTTGTTCCAAAAGACAAAGACCCGGTTGTTGTTGTTGTTGTCTTATTTCTCCAAGAAAAAACAAATGCCTAGTGGTTGCTAGAGTGTGAGCGAGCACGAAGAGGAGGGAGATTTGTTTGGGTTCAAAAAATGGACAAGTGACGATGCAGTGCAGGGCGGGCGGGCGGGTTGGGAGTGTTTGTACCGGTTGGGCAGGTGGACTGGGCGGGTAATAACGTCGTTGAGACATGGTCGTATTGAGCTTTCCCACCAGGATAGCAGCCCAAAGATGCGACTGATGTTGTGCGGCAGGAAGGTGGGATGGGATGGGCCTGGAGCCCGCTGCAGCTAAGCGGGGCTCGCTGATTGGCCGAACCCCCTGGCGCCAGAACCGGAAACATCTGCGGACATGCACATACCGCTGGCCCCGGACCTGGCCCCCGGAAGTCGCCGTCGTGTTTCTTCACGAGATGGCCCAGCACTCGCTAAGCCCATGTGCGCGAAATGCCGACCGCGCCTGGGCTCTGTCTGGGCAGATGAAGAGGTCCTGAGAGGCGCCTACCGTGCCTGCCGTGTCTGCCGTACCTTCCTGCTCATTGGGCGAATGTTTGGCCTCCATCCGTGGCGATTCGGATATCAGGCCGGCCAAGCCCAGGCCAAGTAGCAATTGGTCGTATGCGGTGCCTTCCCCTCTCCGCCGCGGATGCCCCAAGATCCACCCGTCGGCCGTCCGACCAAGCACGAATGAACGGTCGGGCCAAGGTGAGGAAAGAGTTGGGCTGAACAACCTACCGCGCCTACCAAGCTTGCTGTCCACTTGTCTCTGACGGCGCGTGGGTGCGACCGACGTTAGCGTGCTTAGCACCTTCCTCTAGGAAACACGTATCCAGTCCTATCTCCCTTAGGCTAGCGACCAACCCTACCGGCCTGGGTATAACGCGTCACCGATGGTTGTTGCCATTTACCTCCAGGATTCCAGTTTTCCAGTTTTCCAGGATAAATCTGTCGCTCATTGTTCTCCAGATTCCACAATCCCGGCGCCCCTGCCAGGTGGCGCCTCCGTTTTGCTATCTCGGCGATCTGTGCCAGCATTTGCGGCAAAACACATCCCTGGCCTTGAACCTTGCACATGCCCACGTCGCAGACGGCTGTCGGCGACACGGCGCCCTTGCAGCCGAGGCAATTTGAGCGAAACAAAGCCTATGTTAAACCCACTCCCAGCTTTCTTTACAAACTCTGTAAGAGCAACGAAGCTGGCGCACCACACAGTTATAGAGGCCGGCTTGCACGCCCTTCAGTCTAGCCCAGCCCACGTGTCTCATTCTTAGTTAGAACGGGCGCGTGGAATGTTCTTATCGTGTGGGATCTAGTCTAGCACCCTGGGCACTTAGACAAGAACTCCTCTGGGCACCTGCAGACAAACGCGGTGAGCGGCAAATCGAATACGTAGCCCCTTGCCACGTTTGACGGACGCCCTCGCCGCTTATCAACTAGGTAGCAGGCCCCGCCCACAGATGATACCAGGAAGTGGAAGGGCAGTGTGGGTAGTCGGGCCGCCGGGCGTTCATAACTGACATGGATGCGCGCCTCCAGCCTCCCTGTCCGTCCGCCCAAATCGAGTGATCATGTGAGGAAGAGCACTGTGGTTATCATTCCAGTCCTAACTCCTCCACATTTTGTTTTGGCGCTTGTCCGGATCCAGGCAGCTCGCGTGGATTGGCCTCAGGTGGTCCACTGTTCAACGGTAATTGGCTGAGCCGCCGTGCACCGTATGAAAGATGAACTAACTTTATCTAGTTGTGCAGATGGAGGGGTGCAAGAAAAAAAGCCCATTTGACGACACATGGTGCCTGGTGGGTGTGGCGGACCTCGATTTGCTCAAGCAGCCTCGTTTGCGCTGCACCACCACTCCGCCTGACACATCCTGCGCGTCGACTTCGTCTCCTCAACACGTCCTTCTTTTCCTTCTCACCCTCTGGAATATGCTAGGTCTTCTCGGGCGCCCTTTTGGGCGCCTGCAACCCTCAATTGCGCGAGCAGTGGTGGCGCCCGGCGCGCTAGCTTGTGCTTCTGCCGCCCCAGCAAGGAGATTCAACTCGTCGGCCCCCATCGTCGAGCCGCTGCCCGCCGCCCAGTCACCTTTCCCTTTTCCGGCAGTACCGTCCGCCCCGTCGTCGTCGTCACAAAATACCAACCCGGCCCCGCCCACACTGCAAAAGGCCGGTCTAGTAGCGGCGACACCATCAACGGCCCAAGACACATCCGTCGCCGCACTACTGCCTCTCCTGGCGGCACAGCCATCCCACTATGTCACCCTCCACATTCACGGCAAGCCATACCTCGTCACTCCTGGCGACTCGATCCGCCTGCCATTCAAGATGCCCGATGTTCTCCCAGGAGACATACTCCGATTCGATCGGGCGAGCGTCATTGGCTCAAGGGATTTTACTCTCAAAGGCAACCCCTGGATCAGCGAGGGGCTATTTGAGTGCCGCGCCGTCGTCATTGGTACCGAGACTGAGCCGATTCGCCACAAGATAAAAAAGAAACGGCGTGAACGCAAGACAAAGATTGTCAAGAGCAAACACAAATACACCGTGTTGAGGATCTCAGAGCTCAAGATCATTGCCCCAGACACGGCCGAAGCATCCTCGACGAGCTGATCTGAGCTGGGCAGCTGAGGGCGGCGAGATTGGGTCCTGGTGTGGTCAGTTCTGTCCTGGGACTCCAGGTCCGAGCCTATTCGGTGTCACAGATGCAACCCAGGGATAAGATGTGGATGAGAGACAGAGAGAACC